TCTATAAAAAACCTTATCGAAAATCAATTATAAAATTATATCTCCTACATCTTTAGAGCTAGAGTGTCCAAAGTTTAAATATATATTTAGAGGCACTTTATACAATTTCGATTTTTGTTAAAATTTACCCCCCACCCTATATTCACCCCTCATCTTTGTATAATGCGTATTTTAAATACTAGAGACTTGTGCTTTGGCAAATGCATGCATGTCCATGATATAATCTAATCCATCGACAAGGAAAGTTATTAAACAATTATGTTCCCATAGTAAGCCACTGCAGCCAATCCGTGTTTATGCGTGAGTGCGTATGCCTGTGTGTATGTGTTTGTGTGTGCTCAGTGGCTCGAAGGGTTCAGGGGATCTCGTAGTCGAGCAGTCCCGACTAGAGCTTTCTTACTTGTTGCGGTTTCTTTTACTGTTGCTGCGTCTTTTTAATAAGCTGCCACTTGCAGCAGCCACAAAAGGAAAACACCACTCGAGCTGGCCGACTAGAAGATACCCTGGACCTGACTGATATAAGAATGAGAATATGAATCTGTACTTGAACTGAAAATATTTAGTTAACGGTCTGGGGGATAAAAGACAGATAGACAAGCATGGCTGCATGCTTACGACTCAGCTCAGTGCCCTGATCATCACATTGCATGTTTTTTAAGGATATCGTTGTACCCTGAATTTGCCTTATCTTTGTGCTCAGCGCAAGAACAGCAAACGCCAACCGACAAGAGAATGCGACTGGTCCAGAAATACCAAAGGTACTTTTTCGATTACGCGAAGGCTGTGTGCATTTCACACACACTCTTACGCTCACAACCACACACATTCATTACGCTGGGCGTTTGTTTGGCTTTGTGCTTTGAGCCGCTGCTCGCAGCTCGCAAAGATGAAATGCTGTGGTTAATATGGCGAATGTGGCCAATATGGCTAATAAGGCCAATATGGTCAATATGGCCAATATGGCCAATATGGCTAATATGGCTGATATGGCTGTGCTAATAAGTAAATTGACTTATTTCCGGTCGCCATTGTCATTTGTCGTGTTGTCTCAGCTGTTTAGCCGGCGAACAAAATGGCGCCTCATTAGTCAATGTCGCCTAGGCAGCCACATGGGCGGCCCTCAGCCGGGGCGTGTCGCCTAATTGCCAAGGTGTGAAAATGACGCCAGCACCACCGCCGCCGAAAACTTTGCTTCCCTTTTTGGCAGGGTGGTTGAGTAAGGTTGCTAATGATTGATTGAGGGCTTGATGGATGGCTGGGCAGGGATTTTGGTGTAGGTTTTGTTTTTCGTCTGTTCTGCCTGTTGTGCAGAGCCAATGCCACATGTGGCGCCACGACTAAGCAGCAGCAGCAGCGGTAACAGCTGCACCTGTCAGGTGCATTTCACTCGGCTTGCCTATTATCTTAATCGCTTTGGCCTTTTCGGCGCACTGTCAATGGGCAGTGCATTCGCTGCGCTTGCCTTCGGGCCCTAATCAGCTCGTCAATAGGCCAATTTAGCAGTCCAGCCAGCTAACCAGCCAACGAACTGCCCATCAACTACGTAATTCATTATGAAAATTGCGCAGCCAACGACTCGCCGCCCGATTAGGACCTCCACTTCTTGGGTGGCTCTGCTGGCCCAACAAATCCTGCGCCCCTTCAGTCAAGGCAAGCTGTGAGCCTTTTGTCTAGGCCTCATGTATTTGCATATTCTGCAAGCTGAATAAATAAGCAGAGGTCTCTGTTGAGACAATCAGCGATACTCTAACACCCTGAAATATTGAATGGAAGCATTACGAAAAAGTAAACATCTCAACAAGTTGCTCGAACTGAAATATTGCAGATATACTTAAGATATACCTGTAATAGTTGAATTCACATACAGGGTTGTCCATACTCAAGGCGACCATTTGAGAGATAAATTATTAAAAAAGTGATTTCAATAACTCTACTTGAGTCAAATAAAATGGGTATTATCGACAACTGTAAACTTCATTTTCTTTGATTAAAAAAAACTTGTGTTCGTCGAATAGGGTTGCCAGATGGGTCCGTCAAATATGGACAGACCGGTGAGTTGTTTCCTTGACTTAGCTTTATAGTTATACAGATATATTATATTTTATAATATACATAAACATATATGTATATATCTTTTAAATTTTAATCGTAGTCTCTGATTTAGCTAGGTTCTATAGTTAAAGATATAATCATAAATATAAATATTCCTTTTTAACTGCAGGCGATACATTCTCGATTTTGGCTTAGTTAGTTATAGATATATTCGTAAATATATATGTTATACAGTTGTATAGATAATATCTAAAATATTATATATAGTAGTTAATAAAGATCTAGTCGAGACTAGTCGACTACGAAATCCCCTGAACCCTTCGAAGAAGTGAAATTTCAATATTTAATCTCGTTTTTCTGGTACCGCAGGAAACACTCACACACTGACACACATAGGCATGCACGTATTGGCTGCAGTCTGTGCTTACTATGGGAACTGTGAGTGTGTGTGTACCTTTCGTGTAAGCAGAAAGACGCAAAGAATTATTAAAATATCAGCAGTCTCGACTACAGTTTTCTTAATTGTTTTGTCGATGGACTATCTTCATGAAACTTTTAGATCGTGATTATAACATTAAAATGCGTACATGTGTCAAAGCAAAAGTCTAATATTTGAAATACGCCTTTCCAAATTTAGGGATAGGGAATGGATATAGGGGTGGGAGTCAATTACAAAAAAAAATCGAAATTCTCTTTTCTCCTTTCGATAAGGAGTTTAACAATAATTAGGATTAGTTCTAGATTTTTTGAGAAAAATTCGATACCCTGATTTCTCATTGAAATGGGGTATAAAAATACAAATTCCATACACGATTTACATGTTTGTCTAGATTTTTGGAGAATAACTCGATACCCTGATTTCTTATTGATTTCTTATAAAAATATAAATTCCGTACATGATTTACATGTTCTTCTTTGGCTTAGTTAGGCTCTATAGTTTATATATATTTATAGATTTATGATAAAAAAAAATAAAAAAAATACATATATAAATATATACATATATTTTCCTTCGTTATATAGTTGTATAGCAAGTACTTCAAGTCGGATAAATTATTTCGCACTTCTCAGTACGCAACACCGTCATAAGCCTTTTGCAATTGCCAGTTTACCCAACCGCAGAGTACTTGTGGCAGAGCTCAAGCTTCTAAAATGTTTATACAGGTGTCTTGGTCTCAATGACAGCCATCAGCCAGGCAGGCCAGACGATTCAGGCAAAAAGACGAAGAGGCAGCTGCCTCGACTGGACATGCTCTCCCTCTCTCTCGCACACACACTTCCGCACAAGTGCAGATCATTTGGCAGGGCCGCTGCAGCAGCTGCCGTCTAGTCAAGGCCAGGTCGGGACGCGGCGAGGCAACCAGGTGAGCTGCCAGTGACTCATGCAGGCAGCAGCAGCAGCTGTTCATGCAGCAGTTCACTCCCAGCTGTGAGCTGAATGGGAAAATTGGTTAGAGCCTGCTCTGAAATTGAACATAAATATTCGGCCAGCTGCAGGGTGTCGCCTTTTCTGTCAGATCTTTGGCACGTGCGCGCTTAGCGTAAGTTTAACAACTTAACGGATGCATAAAGTAAATTGTGAAAACCAACCGAGTCGTTAATAATAATAATAATAATAAATTGAAGTACTCTATTATTTGCTGCGAAGTGCACTTTTTATTGACTTTTTAATATACGCTTCGATTTCGAATCTGTTTTGTGCCTGAAGTTGAAAGTAATCTTTGCATAAAAATAAATAGCTCCACATAAAACAAATATTTAAAAATAGACTGTGCAAGGAATTCTTTGAAGGAATTATAATTGTATCAACTAAGATATATGGTTCTTCAATTTCCGGTTTTCACAAAACATGTAATATTTTATATAATATTTATGCTGTTTGCAATCTTAACGAATATATGATAAATCGCACAAAATCTTAATGTTCACGATTTTAATAATTTCGTAAAAATTATGAATGAAAAAGAACTTCCAAGTGCCAATCTTATGATTAACATAGCAAAGCGACCCAATCGTAATGTCTTTAAATCAATTATTTCCAAAAATTACGAATATCCGAAATTTTTCTTAATATTTATATTTAAAAAATATGGCAATAGAGAAACTAACGAAATAAGGGTTTTATGCTGATGAACAGGATGTGATAGATCTATTATTATATATCTTTATTCATATATATAATATACAGCTCATGCTGTCATGTCTCATTAAGAAGTTTTTGGCTTCGGAAGAGTTCTTTAGTGCTCGCATTGATATGGAGCGGAATCTGCAATTATTTGCAGTTAAGATTCCCCAATGCCAATTCCATGGCCATCAGAAACAGACGGCGACTAGTCAGTGGCAGATACATTCGCATAATTCGCCTATGCCACTATTCTCTCGCACACATACGCACACACACGTACACACACGCACACACACGCACACGCACACACATGCCCACGCACACCACGTGACAACAGGCAAAATAAAAGGAAAAAACATTTGGGAAATACTCGTAATTTATAATTTCGCACGTGAAACTGACAAAACCAATTCGCTGCTGAGCATTTTCTCCTTGTGGCAATGCAAAAATGTGGCGCACTCACACACACACACACACACACATGCACATATAGACAAACAGATAGATAGACGATGGAAAATTAGTATTGCGAACTTTGTAGCTTTGTCTTTGGGCCAAACAATTGCGCAAATAAAAAACAGATGCGTCGCATTTGAGATATATTTAAAGAGCGAACCGCACAGCTGCCCAGATTCCAGATATACAATATATACATATATTTATACACAAGTATAAGCATATCCAGGGAGTATTGCCAGGGACAGCTGGCCCTATCGCGGCATAGACAATCAACATGTGTTGCGCTCGAGTAGGTAGAGGGGACAAGCACACAGAAAACAGATGCGCATCTTTGAGATACTTTACATGTGGCTCATTGACTTACCATTTTGGCTGCCTGTTGTTGTTGTTGGCCGTTCTTGTGAATTGGTAGAGTGTATGATTCGGTGCTTTGGTTAATTATGCTCACTTCTTACTGCACTCAAGCGTTTTGTTGCATTGTTTGCGTATCTTTGAGATACTCTCGCCGTTGACACCCACTAAAAATCGCGCGCACGTTTTGCCTGTGACGGGGCGTAATTGACTATCAACCAATGTGAAACAAATCGTGTGCCGCTTCAATAAATTCAATTGCACATATTTCTATTATTTATTTATTTTCCATTTTCATATTGTTGTTATTGGTTCTGTTGCTGTTGCTGCTGCTGTTGACGACGCGGCGCGAGCAACAACAATTGTTGGCGAGAGCGAAAACGTAGATGCGACTCTTGTACCGGCATGTCGGGCCACTGCCAAACGACTGAAACTGGGAATGGCGGCTATGGAATGCCGAGTCCCGAAAACTGAGAGACACGCTGCGACGCTGACTCTGCTCTGCTGTGCTGCTACTGCTGCTGTTGCTGTTGCTGTTGCTTCTACTGCGTGACGTCCACTCAGTTGAAAGTTGAATTGGTTTGTGAGTGCCGTTTCAGTCCCGACTTGCTCAGGTTGTCCAGCACATGTTTCGGTTTCGTCGTTCGTTTCTTTCTTCGTGACGTTGGTTCGGCTCGCTTGCTCGGCTACTCGTCGGCTCGTCGTTCGCCGTGCGCTTGCAGTTTGCAAGGCGCCGGCGCAGTTGGTGCTCGCGTCAGAAACAGCTGTTCAGCTGCTCACATCAACCCCAACCTTATGCCGTTTGGCTTATCACAGGGCCATGCGCGGGAACAACAGCAACAGCAAACGCAATAGCAACAACAACAGCAGCAGCAACTGCCTGCCCAGACATCGTCGCAGTCTGCACTTCTTCTCTTTCGCTTCGCCTGGCAGCAGCCGGCGTTTGGCCCCGCTGGGCTATTAACATCAGCTGCTGTCGCTGTCGCAGTCGCAGCCTCCCTTCTTCGCCGTTGTCGTGCTGCCTCTGACGGCGGCAGCTGAAAAATTCCTTTTTGGCAGCTTGCTCATCATCCCAAATTTCTCTTTTCTTGTTGTTGTTGCTGTTGCTGTTTCTGCTGCTGCTGGTGCTGCTGTTGTTTCGTTTTATTTTCACTGAAATGTGTTTCACTTGCCATGAAATTCCAGTTGGCATTGCGTTTCCAACTGCGTGCCGATATTTAAATAAATTGCCAACCAATTGTGCACACACACACCCACACCCACACACATGTATTCACACGAAAGTCAGATGAAACAATCCGCTAACCCCACGCCAGTTGTTGTGCATTTGAGAGCATTGAAATGGCCCCTTGTGCGCGTGTTCACACCATGTCAAATGCTCAGATTCACACACTCACAAACATATAGCACATAGCCAAACCACCCCCACCACTCCCTCCGTGTACACCACCTCCCTTCTGTGGTAAGCCCGCAGCGCAGCACACAACTGAGGCTCGAAATGAGCGAGCAAATTAAAGGCGATTTCGCCTTGGTATAGGGGATTTGGGTTCGTCTTCTTTCACAGCTGCGTTGGATTATGTGCGACATGGGAATGCGCTTACAATCAGGAATAGGCCAGCCAGAAGAGGGTGTCAGCATTGGGCTATGTAGTGTAGCTCAAAATAAGCGATTGAGTCTGGTGCGTATGCTTCAGTTCCCTAAGGACAACTTCCAGCCAAGAATTGAAATCAAAATTGTTTACGTAACTGTTTTTAAGTCCTGAGATATAAAAAATTTTAAAATATAAATATAATTACCATATTAAATAGACGTTTGGTAGCTTATTTAGTATTTCCCACAAGCTATGTTATTTCGCATATTATTTCTTCAGTTTGTAGTTGTAGTTGGAGGAATTCACATCCAAATTATCCAACTGTGCTTTGTTACCCCACAGGGACTTATCTCAACTTTATAAACCATCTAGTTATCCATCGATCAATCTAAATTTGCCTTCATTTGCCGTTACATTTCAATACCACAGCAATGGCTATCAAAGTTGACCGTCAGAGCTTGTGCAAAACCAGCCAATGCAATAAGTGGCCATTCATCTTCTGGCTGCCCACTCCCGGAGCCTCCACGGGCCCGTCCAGTTGCACAGAGCTTGCCACAAGCGGAACCCGAAGAGACCCAACCACAAGGCTTGGCGGCACAAATCGACGTAGTACGTAACTTCCAACGGCTGCTGCAGCTGCTACAGCTGGCAGTGGCTATAAGGCTCTGCGTTTCCGTCTGCGTCTACATCGACTACGTGTCCGTCTCCATCCCCAGCCCCGTCTCCGTCTATGTCTATCTCTCTAGATACATCTACAGCTCCAGCATTGCCACTTGGTAGCAGTTGGCCGTGGCAGCGTAGTCGACGTCGTCGTCGGCATCAGGCGGCAAATAATGTAAAACGCCATTAGGCGAGATTTTCTCATACAAACAACAATTGGGCATTGGCACACAGGGCGCCAGCTGACGCTGCCGATGTGGCTGGGCTGGGCGTGTGGACGGGGCAGGGGATGTGGCACAGTGGGTGTTGGACAGAATACTTTTCTGCTTCTGCTGTTTTTTGTTTTTGTTTCTGTTCTCTTTCTTTTATTTGCGCATTTTGCACAAGCTACGAGGGGGTTGGGCCTCGTCTCACCCAAACGAAAACAATTTGGGCAGCAAGTGGCAACATTTGTTGCTGCCGCTGCTCCGCTGCTCCTGCTGCTGCGACAAATTGAATGAAATCACGGCAATTTGGCTGGCACACAAACAAACCTACAGCTGTGACCAGACCGAGCATTCTCTAAAGAGGAGAAGAGGGAGGAAGGAAGAAAGAGAGAGAGAGAGAGAGAGGGGGGGGGGGGGAGGGAGAGAGCTAGTCCGCATGGTCAGTGCCGCAAATGTGGATGCATAATTGAATTATTAATTTTTATTTTAAATAACAGTGTATGACAGATACTCAGCAATTGCTGCCGCCCATCCTCCTCCTTCTCATCCTCCCGTGCATGAACGACCTCGGGCTGGGCACATTTATCTGACTGCGGCGTGTATCGTGGCGATAAAGAAGTTGTTTACTCAGCGCCAATTCAGCAGCAGCAACTTATACCATACCAAGCCCAGCCAGCCCGAAAGCCACCCCTTAAGCTCAGCCACCCACACCCACTCCTGTGTGCGACCCCCATTAGGGCAGCAGGTCAAAATGAAGCTGTTGCCCTGACTCTCTGTGTGTGGGTTTCTGCGACGCGGTATTGACTGACTTTTGATAATAAGCTGGCGGAGTGGGTAACAGCCAACAGTCAACTGCCAACTGCCAACTGCCAACTGAGTGCGAGCAGATAACACACTCCCACTCCCAGCGGCATTAAAAGTGCTAAGGATGTCGAGCGGCCCAGAGCTTGGGCGTCAATTTGTTTATGGTCACAAGTCTCACACTCACTAGCGCACGGACACATAGACACACAAGCAGACAAACTATGCTGTCATGTTGGGGGCCACCACCTGTGGCATCCCAAAATAGTTGCTCCGCGTCATCGTCTTATTGCGTCAGTCCCGATTGCTCGAGCCAAACAATAACAAGTTGAGACTGCTCGACTAGGAGATACCCTGAACCCTCTAAGCTGATATTCTACTCATTCTGCACTTCTTTTATCCACACATACATGCACACACTAATTAGCACGCGGTCTGCGAAGTAAGCAGCGACTTCGCTTAGGCTGCGCTGCAGTGTGGGCAATATTATGAGAATTTATTTGTTGATTAATTTCTTTTGTAGTAGGACTATCTTCTTGCAACTTTCAAAAAAAAGTTTTTATTTTTATACCCTTAACCAATTTTCAATGGAAAATCAGGGTATAATGGTTTTGTTGAAATGTATGTAACAGGCAGAAGGAGGCTTGGCAGACCTCAAAAAGTATATATATTCTTGATCAGGGGCACGAGCTGAGTCGATATAGTCCTGTTCGTCTGTCCGTCCGTCCGTATGAGCAAAAGAATCTCAAAAGATATAAGACCTAGAGAACTGAAATTTGGCATGCATACTTGTGTATACCATAGGTAGTACAATTTTATCATAGTTTTTCGTTAACTCATTTGATAACTTTTTTATCGAGAATAATCGATTGTTTTTTAGACCTTAAGACTTCAAATTTGCGTTGTATATAAAGTTAATGGATACAAAGATGTTGTAATTTACAGATTTTGGATACCACGCCCCCTTCGCCACCCCATTTGCAAAAAAACGCATTTCAAGTACTAGAGACTTGTGCTTTGGAATGTAGACACATTTTTACCATATGATTACGCTTTGAAGTTTCATTAAGATTGTATGTCTACAAAAGAAATTAATCAACAAATAAATTCTCATAATATTGCTCACACTGCAGCGCAGCCCAAGCGCAGTCGCTGCTTACTGCGCAGTTAGCAGAGCGCGTTGTTATACACGCGTCTGGATGCATGTGTATGTATGTGTGCATAGAAGAAGTGCAGAATGATTAGAATATCAGCTTAGAGGGTTCAGGGTATCTCCTAGTCGAGCAGTCTCGACTGGAGCCTTCTTACTTGTCTTTGTCTTAGCTTTCAGTTGAGCTTGTTTTGCTTTTATATGCTGTTTCCAGGTAAGCCGGCGGTCCAAGTGTACCCCCAGATATTTCACAGTTTCGCTAACTGGAATGGTAGTGCCATTGAGTGAAACTGTCGGACGGATTCCGCGTCTGAGCGAGAATGTGACTTGCACAGACTTTTGGGCGTTCACCACTATTCTCCACCTTTTTAACCATACTTCTTGAAGTAGCTTGGCTGCAACAGTTGGGTCATTGTTCGTAGCAATGATTGCGGTGTCGTCAGCATATGTTGCTATGTGAACAGCATTTGTACTAGGCAAGTCTGCTGTGAAGACAGTGTGCAGAACAGGGCCTAAAACACTGCCTTGACGGACTCCAGCATCAACAGTGCATATAGTGGACGATTCATCCTGTTCTTGAACATAGAATATCCTGTTTTCTAAGTAGGATTTTATTATTAAGAAGTACGGAGCGGACAACCCTTTTTTAATTTTGTACAGCAGTCCTACATGCCACACTCTATCGAAGGCCTATTTGACATCCAAAAATACTCCAGTGCAATATTTTTGCTTTAAAACGCATTTAGAATTTCCTGCGTAATGCGATGGCATTGTTCGATCGTACCATTTCCCCTTCTGAACCCAAACTGATGTTCGGGTATAATATTTAGCTCGTCCAGTACAAGTAACATTCTACTCAAAAGTATACGTTCAAATACTTTAGAGAACGTCACCAGCAAACTAATGGGACGGTACGATGATGCGCAGCCTTCCGGTTTGTTGGGCTTTGGAATCATTATAACCTCCGCGCATTTCCACTGACTTGGAAAGTATTCGAGTCGAAGCATAGCATTATATATATATGTCAGCAGCCGGATGCATTTTTTTGGGAGAATTCTAATAGTGTTTGCATAAATTTTATCGTATCCAGGAGATTTTTTCTTATTTATTTAGCTTTTTCATTTCCTCTTTTACCTCTGAAACAGTCGTTTGGCTTATCGGCAGGCTCATTTGACAGGCTGATTCCAGAAAATGATTTACCTCGTCTACTGTATCAGTATCGGTTTCCGCATTAGTCTTAAAAACTGAGCTTAAATGTTCTGCAAATACTTCAGCCTTCTCAAGATTGTTTCTGCAGCGTTGGCCGTTGCTGTCAGTAATTATGGTTGCTCATCTGGCAGGTCTCTTTAGATATTTTGTAGCTCTCCATAGGCTATAATCTAGGTCACTACTGTATGGGTCAAGA